ACTGACCGGCCGCTTAGGACGCAGTCATGTGATCCATCATGGGAACCACCACTCACAACTGGAGTCCAGCCAAGTTGACACATCTTCAACTATCACAGTAACCAAGGGCCACAGTCTCAAGGGTTCCACCAGTCTCTATCTGACCAATAAGCCTGTTTTTTTAAATGATTTTGAGTTTTGTTCTACACTTTTCTCCCACTCATCTATGACCTTCTAATGTGATTTCTCTCAGAGTTGGTTGTAGTAGCCAGCACCATCTATTTCTTCTGGTCTCAGGGTAGTGAAGCCTGAGATTCATGTGGTTCATTAGTCCTTTGGACTAATTGTGTCCTTTATTATCTTTACTCTTCTTTGTACCAGATGGGGAGAAACCAATAGTTGCACCTTAAATGGCCGCTTGCAAGCTTTTAAGATCCTAGTCACTACTCACTGAAGTAGGATGTTGAACATTGTCTTTGTGTGCTACGTTGCACCAGTTGACCTTGATCCCCCATATTTCTAGTAATTTTTAAAGGGTAAGTTAGAGTTAGCTAGTTGGTCAAAGAGAAAGGACATTCCAGACATAGAAAACAAAAGCATAGAAGTGTGAAAAGGTTGGTGTATTTGGAGGAACTCTACTAAGTTTCTAAATTCTTTCTGTCACTATTTGAATATTTAAGGGGATCACTAAATGGCTTTCCTGTTAATTAGCTCTTGAACTATGTGTCTTTTGCCCTCTTTACTCAGTATCAGATTTGATTCTGCTTGTTAAGCGTTCTGTAATAAACATAGCAATTTAGACTTGAACATAAGTATATCAACCAACTATATTGAAGGAAATAATCCACCAATATGTTATAGGTAAAAATAACAAAAATTAAAGAATGCTTTCAAACAATAAACAGTATTTTTAAAACCAAGGAAAAAAGGATAAAAATTCTCAAAAGTGTGCCATCTCTTTTCACTTAATTTTTTTAAAAAGATATTTTATTGTACTTTTGGTGAAAGTATACACAGCGAAATAGGTTTCCATTCAACATTTCTGCACATGCTGTTCAGTGACATTGGTTACAATTTTTACATTGTGTGAACATTCTCGTTATTTCCATTCTAGTTGTTCCATTCTTAACTTCCTCCTACTGTCCCACAACCTTTTCATCCATGGTTTAGAGTAACTATTGACCGTTTGGTCTCATACAGTTAATTTTTTAAAAGAGCATAATACTCAGGGGTGACATTGTTTATTTTTTGAGTTAACCTGCTATTTCGTTTAAACGTGACTTCAGGGGATAGTTTTGGTTCAGGGTTTCAAGAATACTGTCATATCTCATTTTGTGTTTCCCTTTATTGTGTTTCTCATATACTAAATTTTTCACAAATCAAAGGTCCGTGGCAACCCTGTGTCAAGCAAGTCTATCGGCACATTTTCCCAACAGCATGTGCTCACTTTATTTTTCTGTGTCATATTTTGGTAGTTCTCAAAATATCTTAAACTTTTTCATAATGCTGTTGCACACTTAATAAGAGTACAGAGTAGTGTAAACTTAACTTTTACGTATACTGGGAAAATAAAAAATTCATTTTATTTTGGTATTTGGTATTCACTCATTTTATTATGGTATTCATTTTATCACAGTGGTCTAGAACCAAACCTGCAATATCTCCAAGGTATGCCTATGTTTCATGGCAGTTGTTGTTGTTAGGTGCCGTCGAGTTGTCTCTGACTCATAGTGACCTTATTTACAGCAGAATGAAACACTGCCTGGTCCTTGCTGTACCTGAGCACATTGTTGCAGCCACTGTGTCAATACATCTCATTGAGGGCCTTCCCCTTTTTCTTTGTCCCTCTACTTTGCCAAGCATGATATCCTTCTCCAGGGAATGGTCCCTTCTAACAACATGACCAAAGTAGGTGAGACGAAGTTTGGTCATTCTTGCTTCCAAGGAGCATTCTGGATGCACTTCTTCCAGGATGGATCTGTTAGTTCTTTTAGCAGTCCATAATAGTTTCAGCATTCTTCACCAGCACCACAACTCAAAAGCATCGACTCTTCTTCCGTCTTCCTTTTTCATTGTCTAGCTCTCACATACATGTGAGGTGATTGAAAATACCATGGCTTGTGTCAAGCACACCTTAGTCTCCAAGGAAACATCTTTGCTCTTTAGCACTTGAAAGAGGTCCTTTGCAGCAGATTTGCCCAACGCTATACGACCTCTGATATATTGACTGCTGCTTCTGTTGGTGTTGATTGTAGAACCAATAAGTCTTTGACAACTTCAGTCTTTTATCCATTTATCATGCTGCTGCTTATTGGTTCCATTGTGAGGATTTTTGTTTTCTTTATATTGAGATATAATCTGTACTGTAGACTGTAGTCTTCAATCTTCATAATTAAGTGTTTCCAGTCATCCTCACTCATGGCAGTAGTCTCAGGGATTCCTCTAGTCTTATAGGGCCCAATAAGTGTGAGTTCTTTGAGAATTTAAAGTTCTATCTCACATTTTTTCTCTTTTTGTCGGGATCCATCTGCTGTGACCTTGATTAAGCTGTTTGGTAGTGGTACCCTGGTACCATCTAGTTCTTCTGGTCTCGAGATTGAGGAAGCCATGCATGGTTCATGGAGACAATTACTCCTGTAGAGCGGTTCCTTCCCTGATTTTTGGGTTTCCTTCTTTTCTTTTGCTCCACATAAGTAGATCTTTTCACTTGATTTTTGAATAAATTGTAACTATTTTCTACTGTTTCCAGCTGTTCTTTTAATGTAGTACAGTTGATAATTTTAGGTAAATAATTACAGGTATCCCTCACTTTTCAAAAGTTTGCTTTATGCCACTTTGCATTTATGAAAGACCTATATGTGTACCTGTTTACTAACTGAAAGAAATCCTAAAAGGATTTTCGCTATCATGAAAAAAGGCAAAAAGTGACACTAGCGTTCAGCATTTGTTTTCAGCAAACCATTAAAGAGGCTGTGTGCACCCCCTACAGTGAAAGTGGCATCACCAAGCTCTTTCCTTGGGAACTACACTCAGCATCAAACCGCCTTAGCTTTAAACTGTATGTGTAAACACTATATGGTATTGATATCGTAGGTTTTATGTGTTACCTAGTTTGATTTGGTAGGTTATTTTTTGGGGTCTGGGAATGCTTGAAAAATTCTCCCATATAAATTAATGGTAATCACTTTTTCATTTTATACCATTGCAAAAGATTTTATGGGAATGCTGTACTTTTGGATAGCTGGGGAAACCTGTACTTCTTATTACTATTGTAAGCCACAAAGTCTGTATGTTCTAACTTTATTATTATTATTATTATTTTTGAAGAACCTTCTCCTTAAACTTCTCCTTCTCTGGTAAATCTTCCTACAGCAATGTCTTCATTTGAATTTCTTGAGCAAGTTTTATTCCTTTAGTGTTTTTAAAGTGGAAGATTTTTCTTAGAGTTGGAGCTGCCTTCTGTTAGCAAACTTGGCTTTTTATTTATTTATTTATTTATTTTATTTTGATTCGGGTGAAGATTTACAGAGCAAATTCACTTTCCATACAGCAGTTCACATATACTTTGTCTCATGTCATTGTCCAAAATTTACAATGCAACAGCTCCCCTCCCACTTCCTCCCCATAGTTACCTCTTCCCAGTGTCCATCCCTCCATACTCTACTGCCC